AGTCTTGTATTATTTTTAATTTTAGTTTCTTGTGTACAATTTGGAGTTTAGTATGGCGTTCATTATCACTTAACTAGTATAAATATTTGTTTAGGGGCCAGCTGAAGGACGCCTCCGGGTGTGGGAATTTCTCGCTGCATTGAAGACCTGTTGGTGACCTTCTGCTGTTGTCTGTTCTATGGTCGGGTTGTTGTCTCTTTGACACATTCCCCATTTCCATTCTCAATTTTATTGAATATTCATCGATCGAAAAGACCGCAAATACATGTACAAAAATCAAGACGACCTTTCTTGAAATTGTATAACTTTAAAAAAAAAAGATGCCTACCTCATCAAAATATTTAGCTTTAATTTTGTTTTGTTTTTTTTTGTTTTTGACCTGGACAGACAAGCTATTCACGAAAAAACAATGTCTTTATCAAATGCTCACGTGAGAAGAGCAGACTGGTGTACTCAAAACATATAAAGATGTGAAAACAAAGTACATTTTGGCAAATTGTAACGTGCTTATGACTTTGTGGAACACTTCGAAAATAGGGGACCTGAAAGATCTTTAGATTTTAAATGTGCAGGATCAATATACAGCAAAGATTATTTTTTTTTAGAATTCAGTTGCACAAGCTTCTAATTCAATTAGCTCATCAAAACTGATGTGTTTTGCTTGTCAACAAAAATTACGATTAATGGCTTCTAAGGTCAAGACATTGGTCACGTGACAAAAGGTCAGAGTTTTGGTAAACGTGCATGCCACGTGGTTTTTTTTTACTCGTATCGTCTTATTTGTACTCGTTCATTAATAAAAATCAAAGTGTTCAAATCTTGAGTGAATGAGCTTCATTATTCTTGATAGATCTATATACATTTTGAAACCGAGATTGTCGCTAGCTCACCGAATTGCAAATATACTTATAATGAAATCATGAAACAAATTACCAAATGAATGCAAGATTTGATAAGAGTTAATAATCACAAACAACTCATCCGTAAACATGATTAATATCAAACAAAAAACATTTCCCCGACTATGTGATGTAGGTCATCTTCGCAGTTAAAAATTGCAGCCACAGGCTTGTTGCTTATTTTTTTTTCTCTTTTAAATACACGTTTAAGTGTCCTATTAAAAATCTATATCAGCCCAGGAGTGGGTTTTCAATCCTGTGTTGATTAGCCGGTAGTGAATCTTGAAAACTGATCACAAAAAATATTAATTCATTGCAATAGTTACAACAGCAAAATTTAAACATATGCAGAATTATATTATAATAAATATTAGGTAGATAAATTAATAATTATTTAGACTGTGACCGGTTGTTTGTTCAAAACAATGTTATGAATACAAACTCGTTCTTAATCCTTAGTCAATGACACCCATATTTGAATGATCACTAATGAATTATGCATAAAAGATGGTTCAACATATCTTAGGAAAACATAATTTTTTCATCAAAAGCAAAATAATTTTGGGGTGCCATGAAGATGATATCAAAAATCTGTAAAATTCGATGCAGTATTGAGTCCTTACAAAAGAATATGATATAGAAAACTGCTAAAAGATGCTAAACCAGAATCCTCACACACAAGTTTAATCTGGGAAATTCCAGAACTACGTAAAACCGAAAAAGAACAATGATCATGATTTTTAATTTCCACTAAAACCTTTTTCAAATGATGAAGTCGTACAAGGTACTGGACCATGGAAATCTTACGGCTATTTACTACTACTCTGCAAAGTGGATCATTCTATCTCGTTCTGATAATGCAAAAATTTTAAAAGAACCATTGAATCTGGTTATATATCTGTTACTTTGGAGTTCCACAAGGTTTTACACTTGGACCTTTATTATTCTTGGTGTATTTAGATTTTAAACTAAATAGTTCCTGGAATAATTAGTAAAAGATTTACCGAAACAACATAACTTTTGAACTATTTAACCTTTCAGATTGAAAATACCGGTAGAACAAACCCCATATTCATGAGTTCCGTTCACCATCAACCTGACAAGGAACATACGCATCAATAACATCATATCTTAAGCAAATAAATCATTAGGCTTCCTGAGAAGAAATATCAATATACTCCCGAAAGAAAGGGAAATAAGGCATACACAGTTATTGAAAGACCAAATTTAGTATAGCCAGAAGTGCTTGGAATCCATACCAGGAAAATCTCATAAAAAAATTAGAAATAGTGCAAAAAAGATCAGCGAGTTTCATTCAACATTAAATACAGTAGACATTACATCAGTCACTACCATACTTTAGGAATTAAAATTACCGTCATTAAAAACCAGACTAAAACTCAAAAAGCTCTGGTGTTTCATAACTTAAGGCACTATAATTATAACATCATGAAATAGCCATAAATATGCCAGATAATATAGAACCAAGGTAAATTCAGAAATATTTTAACAACAACCAACACTCACAAATACATATTCTTTTCTCGTATCATCAAAGGCTGGAACAAAAAAAAAACTTAAATAAAGATGATGCAGAGGCATTTAAGAATAGCCTCACATCTTATTTTATAGAGTTGTCACTTGGTATGTCTCCCCTTTTTATAACCACATAACTGCATACAGTCCTTTAATTTAAATGCCAAGCTTTTATTCCATCTTCTCGAGAATTTCTATTCCCATGATAAAGCAACATTTGAAAATCAGAATATAGAAACATGTTTAGCTTATGCTGCGTTTAATTCATCTATTTTAGTTAAAATGCCAAAAAAATTCTAAAAAACACATTACCTTTACTTTAAAAACACGTGTTTTTAGTACTAGTAAAACGTAGAAGTCCGTGGTGGTATGGTACTAATTCACTCGCATGGTAAATCAGTGAGTTTATGTGTTATGAAAACAAACAAATGTTTCGACGGAAACACTTTCATGTAAATACATGAATGTCTATAAAAGGCATTGTTCTAGATCTTTTAAAGTCCGTTTAGGTTTTATGCAACAACTTTTTTGCTGGGTTTGCAAAATACTCCACAAAAACTCTTTCTAGTTATCAACAACTATTTTATCAGCAACAAAAAAGATGGTCAGAGGTAATGTGAAACTACTTGTATAGGGACGGTGTGTACCAGATGTGGATTTGAATAAAAATCAAACCATCTGTTAGAGTACCTACAATTTAAGTCTTTTCCTCGTGCAATAGCATAAAACATTTCATCACTTTAACCTTTAACCCAGTTTTCTTAATTCGAAACACAAAGAAAGATTGAAAGAATAAGTCCAAACATATCTTTTCAGAAAACAGAATGGTCAACGTAGGAACAAAAACATTTATATTATTCTAGGGAGGGATAACTTAAACTTCGTAAAAAAGTACCCTGAATAAAACAAAAAAATCGATTTAAACTGCTTATGTATCTGCTTAGTTACTTAACGAGTTATACAGTAAGGTGATTTAGAATATTATTTAAACAACACATAGCTGAGAGGGTGATAGAGCAGATTGTTACCCCGAGAAAACATTGTCAACTGAGGCAAAGCCAAGGTTGACAACGTCTTTTCGAGGAGTAACAATCTGCTCTATCACCCTCTCAGATATGTGTTATTTAATTTATTAATATACTGAATGTTCTGTTATTACTGTCTATTGAATTTCAAATTCCAAGTAATAAACTATGACGTATTGTACGTAACAACCATCCGTATTTAATAAAGCACACACTTGATCAAGCGTCTCCGTGAAGGGTAATAGAGTATTTACCATAGGATAGAGTAAAATGTCTCTCTCGTATTAACCTATCATAATCTGACATTTTGACATGAAGTATAATAATATTACTTATGCGATAAGCGGATGGATAAGTCTACTGCACTGTCTGATAAATTTCTAACTTTGATTAAGTTATATACAATGTATGTTATATATTTGTTTATTGTGTTGTTCTGTTGCGCCTCTGTCCTAGATCTAGGGGGATGGTTGGGCGCCCGCCAACATGTTTAGCCGCGACACATTATGTATGTGCCTGCTTCAAGTCAAGAGCCTGTAAATCAGTGGTTGTCATTTGTTGCTGTATATCATATTAAATTTTGTATGCCCCACCTACGATAGTAGAGGGGCATTATGTTTTTCGGTCTGTGCTTCCGTTCGTTCGTTCGTTCGTCAGTCCGTTTGCTCGTCTGTCCCACTTCAGGTTAAAGTTTTTGGTCAAGGTAGTTTTTGATGAAGTGGAAGTCCAATCAACTTGAAACTTAGTACACATGTTATCTATGATATGATCTTTCTAATTTTAATGTGGGGCATCCGTGTACTATGGACACATTTTTGTGTTTTGTTGTTTTGAACATAAATCAAGCCGTTAGTTTTCTAGATTGAATTGTTTTATATTTTGTCATTTCCGGGCCTTTTATAGCTTCATATGCGGTATGGGTTTTGCCTATTGTTGAAGGCATAACGGTTACCTACACTTGCTAAATTCTACATTATTTGGTCTTTGGCGGAGAGTTGTTTCATTAGCAATCCTACCACAATTTCCGTTTCTACCGTTTTTGTGATTTGAAGCGAGAAAGATCAATGACAATTTATGGCTGCTAAAGGTCAATCCGCAAATATCAAATGCATAGTCAGAACAACTTCATTTCATATAATATGATAAAAACATTTTTTTTCTAAAACGACACGCTAAGCTGGTTGTTTTTTAAATGTGACAGCTCGCAAGATAAAAATCCAAAGATACTTATATATATATATATATATTACAATCTGGACACAATAATCAGCCAAGGCCGACATATTTTTGGCCTTATCATGCTTCTTGCTGGATGCGTATCGGAGAAACAGTAAATATATCAATTTCAATATCTTTGGTTTAACTCCGCTAACAGTCGGGGATCGAACCCTTGTTCTCCCGTGCGACATGCATGCTACATGTGCTAGTACGGACCACCGAAGCAGTTTAAGTAAGGAAGAATAAGAAAATATTTATCTGAATTTTAAAGTGCAAAAATAAACGATTCATGAATACATCATTATTGATATTTTAGATAAAAACGACTTTTTATGGACTTGACAAGGCATTTACCTTGAATTGCCCGTTTCATTCGCAGTGGAATATAAGAGCAAAAGACGTATGCAATATATCAGACAGGTATCTTTGTTTATACGATGCAAATAAAATGCTGAACGTTGAAGCATGCAAAGACGAACCACAGTTGGATGCGCCTGGTAAGTATATTTCTTCCATGTACAGTTGTGTTTGATTGAATTTTCAACGCTACTTGATAGAGTATGTATTTTTCTAAATATAATCAATATTGAGTAAAGTAGTCTTTTATATAATTACCGCAGTAGACTGTTCGGAGTGCTTTAATTTGAGTTTGACATATTGGAATATAGTTCTTCTGCGAATTTTGAAGGTTTCAAAATACAAATAGTTGGAAGTTTGGAGGGTGTACAATGTGATACTGATCGATACTAACCTTTCAAGTTCTGGACGAATGGTAGTGGCCTTTGCAAATACGAAAAATCATTATGCAATGGCGAAGGACAAGTACCATTTTCTTCGGGTACAAATAAAAAAGACAGAGCGTGTAGATGTGATTACACAGAAGGATATGATTTTGTAGTTACACCAAAAAACACGTGCTACTGTATACCGTCTAAAGAAGACTGCTCTTGTTTCATCAGAGAGTGTCCCAGTGGATTTGTTCTCTCTCCAGGTATGCTCAATATTTGAATAATAGGCAACAGAAGGGTCCATATGATCCAATCTAGTACATCCATTATGAATATACAAACAATGAGAAACAACCTGAGGAAATCCCATAAACTCAGAACAGAAGGAGATTATGTGTGTTGACATGGGTAACGTATCCTGCTATGCATACATTACAAATAAGACGAATACGGAATAAGAAAGATTTCATATAAAAAAATTGTAAACAATCGGTAAATACATTTCAAAACACTTTTAGTATTTTGGTATATTAAATTGCGTAGAACACAAAAACATGTCTTTCGTGAGTTGGAACACAGACACATCGCATCATTCAAATAATTTGTGATGGTAACCGTGAAACTTGAGAAGTGTTGATGTCAGTTGTTCTTCGTCGTAAACCTGTTGGATAAATAGTTTTCTATGTTAGAAACACTCCCTGTTAGATAAGTCTGTATATCAATATGATAAAATTGAGAATTGAAATGGGGAATATGTCAAAGAGACAACAACCCGACCAAAGAGCAGACAACAGCCGAAGGCCACCAATGGGTCTTCAACGCAGCGAGAAAATCCCGCACCCGGAGGAGGTCCTCAGATGGCTCCTAAATAAAATTGTGTACTAGTTCAGTGAAAATGGTGGTAACACTAAACTCCAAAACATATAAATGAACTAAAATTAAAAAAACATACAAGACTAACAAAGGCCAGAGGCTCCTGACTTGGGACAGGCGCAAAAATGCGTCGGGGTTAAACATGTTTTGTGAGATCTCAACCCTCCCCCTATACCTCTAGCCCATGTAGAATAAATAAACACATAGCAATACTCACAGTTAAACTCAATTTAAAAGAAGTCCGAGTCCGATGTCAGAATAGGTAACAAAAGAAACTAAGCAAAATGACAATGATACATAAATTAACAAAGGACTACTAGCAGTTACTGACATGCCAGCTCCAGACCTCAATTAAACTGATTGCAAGATTATGTCTTCATCATATGAAAATCAAGTACAGTCCCTCCCGTTAGGGGTTTAGTATCATACAATCATAAAATATATGAAAAGAACATACCCGTATCATGCAAGCAACTGGTTTTAGAATAATAGTGTTTATTTCTGATGCAAAGACCCTATGAGTGAATCAATATTAATACTAAAATATGCAATCCTTAATGACCTGAAAACAGTATCGTAACTATATCCTTTCCGAATAAGTCTGTTTAAAGGTTTGGTTAGCTTTTGAGGTGAATGCCGACATTTTTGTGCTTTGTAAAGAATATTACCATAAAATATTGGATGTGAAATACCTGAACGTATAAGATGTCTACATGTTGATTTATATTTACGAATGATGTCCTTGTATCGATGATAAAATTTAGTAAATGTTTTGACTAGTTTGTGATAGCGAAAACCCTGATGTAATAATTTTCAGTAATACAGAGATTTCTTTCGTTGAAATCAAATACGTTGTTACAAACACGAACGAATCGAACAAGTTGAGATAATATAAACACCATAAGATGGTGACAAGGGAACGTCACCATCTAAAAATGAATAATTAACAATAGGGAATGAAAAATCATCTCTTTTATCATAAATTTTGGTATTAAGCTTCCCGTTAACGATATAGATATCAAGATCCAGGAAAGGGCAGTGTTCATTGTTAGTATTAGCTTTATTTAAAGCCAGTTCGGCAGGATAAATCTATTTAGTGTAGATACTGAAGTCGTCATTATTGAGAACCAATATATCATCTAAATATCTAAAAGTGTTATTATTATTAGATGTTGTTTCGATTGGTCTTTGCTGATTTTAGCATGCCGGCGCGTTACATATCAATTCAGGCCCTATGATGGGACTAAGAGTATATCGCGTTAACATGTATCAATTGTGTAGTTGATTGTAACTGATTGTCCAATAGCTCTACGATCATGCTGAGAGTATGTTACTATTTTTTCAAAATGTTTAACTGCATAGACATGATTAATCTTTTAGATTCTTATCTTCCCAAGTAAATTAGCCTATATTTGAAAACGAAATTAAAATTCTGTATGAAGCCACAGCCAATAACGCCACACCAATATGATCAAAGCTCCCTGTTGAAGGCCGTACTTTGACCTATAATTGTTTACTTTTTATACATTGTGACTTGGATGGTGTCTCATTTGCACTCATACCACATCTTCTTATTTATATATATATATATATATTTTTCATTTAATAAACTATTCACATCTTCTAATTTATATATACATATTTGTCATTTAATAAACTATTCACATCTTCTTATTTATATATACATATTTGTCATTTAAAAAACTATTTAAGTGTTCCTGAATAATTTTTTTAATGCTATTGGAACAACAAATAAAGTAAAGTTAATCAAACGGTGTTTTTCAGATTTTAATTGTGCAGCAGTGGAAGAGTTGCTAGCAAGTTCACAGTGTCCCTTAAGAACGATTAGCGGGTAAGATTACTTAAAATATTTATTAATTTGTATATCAATATTAGACTAATCCCGACACATCTCGTATCTACACAAAGTCAAGCCATCCTGACCATGTGTAATTTGCTATTGTTTGCACTTTTTTTGTTTCTAGGAGAGTTCGGTTGTCTAGAGTTGATATGTACACCAATGTCCAAGGTAAGGAAAGGGTTGAACGCTTAAAAACATGTAACCCGCCACATTCTTTACGTGCCGGTCCCAAGCCAGGAGCCGGTAGTTCAGTGGTTGCCGTGGTTCATGGCTGTCATATTTGTGTTTTGTAAATTGTTTTGTTATAAATTAGGCCGTTGGTTTTCTCGTTTAAATTGTTTCACATTGTTCATGTCGGGTCTTTTTTAACCGACTATACAGTATGGTTTCTTTTATTGCTGAAGGCCGTACGGTTGCCTATAATTGCTTGCATCCACTTCTTTTGAACTCATTGGCAATCATAACACATCTCCTTATATTTATAATGTTCTGTATTATTGTATTCTACTGTGTTTTTTATAATTCCTCATTTCTGTAGTTGTTAAACAACATGCCAGTAATATTTTACAGTATTATTATTCCTTTTATTCATGAGGCATATTTGTTTACGTATTGAACATGAAAAAAAATCAATACTCTTAAGATGAACAGTGTTCGTTATATAAGATTCATGTATTACACTCTAAAAATTTCAATTTTCGAAAGGTATTCGGAATTTCTTTATTTGAAAGAAGATGAAAGAAGAATGCAAACTCATTTCCTAAACATTGAGATAAATAATATGATACGGAATTTCACAACTTGATTGATTATTAATGTTACATCTTGTAACGTTGGCTCACAAAAGCTAAGAATGGAATGAATGCAGGGAAAATTGTACGTAATGTAAAGGAAAAATTAAATAAGATACAACGGATGAAACATATAGGTGAATACGGTCACATTCTTTTTTGGTTCTTTATTTAATTGTTTGTGTGATTCAACGTATATTTCATCAAGTCTTCTTTGTGTTCAATATACTTATGAGTTCTAAACCAATTCCGACACGTTGAGGTTCTAATTAAATTGATTAATTCCGACACGTTGAGGTTTTAATTAAATTGTTCAATTCCGATATTTTGAGGTTCTAATTTAATTGTTTAACTTTTGATTGAAACTTGTTTGAGGTAGAGATAAACAAAATATGGCGATATGGTTACATTCGTTAGATATATAAATTAAGTACTGTAGTTTACCGATGTTCAAATTTTGGAAATTGACTAAGAAAAAAAAAAACACGAGGTAACGAACAGAAAATTCAGGGAATCGCATGGACTCCAAAAGGAGCGAGACGGGAGTTGTTGACAGGGTAAACGTCTCCTGCTATGCATGTATCACGTACCATGTCAATCCACACTCAGTCATAAAAGAAACGAACGATACCAAAAGGATATTCGAACTCATAAGTCGAAAACAAACTGACAATGCCATGGTAAAAAATGAAAAACTACAACTGTAACTTTGAGATGGAGAACAGCAATAAAAGCACTGTTCCTTTGCTTTTTTATGTTTCATGCTGTGCATGTACAGATTTTGTGTCCTGGATGGATGCCCCATATCCTTTCTTTTCTATTAAAACAAAACAACAGTTCACAAAAAATAACATAGAAGACTGAGCAACACTCGCACCGAAATAACCTGGGTTGATCCTAGGTGGTCCTGCTCCACTTGTGGCACTCGTGGTGTTCCAAAATGTCACAATCGGGAATAAGACACAATTGGTAAAATAACAGACCAGACGACTAAACTGGTTTCTACAGATCAAAGACCACGAAAACATGTCACTAGTGAGTTGAGATACCGACACATCGCATCGATCAACCAATTCATTATGGTGACTGCAAACCTTATGAAGTGTCGATTTCAGTCGTTGTTCCTCCTAACTATGGTGGAGCAGTTTTTTTTTGTAAGGTGCGAACCCCTGTTTATGGAGTCAGAATAGTGTGAACATGCACGAGCGTATCGTGTTAGCTGAGATATGTAAACGCAATACGATGGAGCAGATGGTAAATTATTCATCACGCTTGTCATATATATATTCTAGTTTGAAGTCGTCCATATGTGCCAATATTTAGGAAAGGATTAAGATATGAAGCACACCTTCTACTTTCGATTTTATCCGTAATCACAAGTTCATTAGGATATATGAGATGTAAGCACTCATTGAGGCTTAGAAAATGATTTGATATATCTGCGAAATTGTAAATATTTGATTGAAGATTTTGGAGTAGATAATCCGAATTTGTAAGAATCCACTTCTGATTAACGGGTTCCTGGACAGCATCAATTTTCAAAAAAAAGTTTTTACTTCCATAGCCAATTCAAATAGGCTTGAACCATCTTGCCCAAGAGAGCCGTATTTATATATATATATCGAATTTGTCTAATTGAAACAAAAAGGGCTTTCACAACATAAATGAAAAAAGTTATTCAAAATAAAAAGGAAATCTGATATTAAAACAACTATGGAATTTATAATTGTATAACATAAGGTCAACCATAACTGATTATCTTATAACCAAAAACAATTTTGTTCTTTCATGCAAGTATTTAAGGTGTTGACATCAACTTTTAGAGTGAAAAGAAAGAAAAAAGACGGTATTTATCAGTTAGTCGATAACGGGCAACTAGACGCATCAGTATTTGTTACAATCAGAGAGGTTTTTAAATGGAATGTATTTTTCAGGTTTTCCTTTATATGAGTTTTTAAAATATCTTGTAACTTTTATCTTTAAATATAGTATTTTGTAAAAAAAAAAAAAAAAAATTAAGCGTTCTTTTAACAAAATTCAAATTAATAAATTCAAAGTTACCAAATGAAATAATTTTGATATGTAATGACTTTGACCAACATTTATTTCATAAATCCAGGGTTTTAGTACATTCTAGTGACTGGAGTCCATTTGACAACTCCATAATTAAATAAATGAACAATTGATAAATTTTGTGATCCGCTCCAACTTAACAACAGAAACTGACATTATCAAAATTCTTTATTTTTTATTGACAACATAGCTATACAATACAAGGACGTGTTTTTTTCAAGAAACAAGTGGCATTCCCATGGGTACAATCTGTGCTCCTCTTCATGTCGATTTCTTCTGTTATTAATTTAAGAAAACATTCATACAGAAGCTTTTCGTGTCGCTATGAAAATGATGACCTCTCCCCAAATAATTTAAAGTTAGGTGCCTATGTTGAATGAATTTATCACATCGAACCTAAAATAGAAGCTATAACGGAATACTCAATACAGTTATATCTTCCCCATATCTTGACTTGCATCTAGAAATTTACAAAGAGGGTCGATTGGCATCAACTCTTATTGACAAAAAAGATAATTTTAATACCTAATTGTGAACTTTCCATTTCTATGTAGCAACATTCCAGCAACACCTGCATCTGGAGTATATATCTCCCATTATGTTTCGTTATCTGTCATGATTTTCTTGGTAGAGTGCTATTGAAGCAAGGGTTCCAATTTGTGAAGTTGAAGTCATCCCTTTGAGAAATTACGGACGCCATCACGAGTTGGTTGACCGTTATTGAACATCGGTAAACAAATGTCGACTTATTGATCGTATTGTTTTCATTTTTTATAGCACTGGGTTGATACCTCTGCTGGTGGACTATCAGTTCCCGAGGGTATAATCAGCTCAGTAGTCAGTACTTCGGTACTGACATGATTAATAACAAACCTTTCCTTATATCGTCCGTTAATAAATTTGGATTTTGTTAAGAAACTATGGTCTCCCTATGACAAAATTGCCCTTACATGGTTTTGTTTATTATGTTTGGTCATATAATTTTTGAACTGTTTCAGTTCTTATACATCCTTGGCTTTCTAATATACAGCGTTCAGCGTTTCGTTAATAAACTTTGAAATTATAAGAAACTAAGGTTTCAATTCCCTCAGGCAAAGTTGACCTTAGTTGGATTTTGTTCTTTTTTAGGTCCTTTTTGGTGATATAGCTCTTCAACTGTTTCGTTCGTATACATCCTTGGCTTTCAAATATTCGGCTTTGAGCGTTCCTGAGGAAGGTAAATCCAGAAAAGCGTGCAATTTATAACGTGTTGTTTTCATTTTTTATTGAGCATCTGTTTCACAGATGCAGACGAATATGTTCCAATCGTCATAACAACAATCAATCTCGTCCGCTTTTCCTCTACTGTGAAATCACCGAATTGGATTTATCCAGCAATTTGTACTAATATAAGCAGCACGACGGGTGCCATATGTGGAGCAGGATCTGCTTATTTTCCCGGAACACATGAGACTTACGAGTTTGAGATTTCGTTTGGTATCTTCCGCCTCTCTCACTTATCCAAACTGTACTTGTTCAAATTTGATGAAGAAAAATGTAAAAAAAAAACAACTAAAAAATGATAAGATAATGTTGTATAGAACATTTATATGCTACTATGTTTCTTTTAACATATTATTTACAAACTGGTCACAACAACATATATATAAGTGCCTATAAATTGCAACATATAACATACAAATCTATTTAAGTGTAGATTTATCAGCACAAAGATTAATTTAATTACACAAATAATGTTATTAATTCCCTGACAATGTAATTTTAACACACATTTTAGTAAAAACTATGTAAATATTAAAATGTTAAAAATATTTATCATGCGATAAAAACAAAACAAAACAAACACAATATTTTGCTAGACAAACTAGCTTCATCATGCTTGCATCTATCCAAGGGAAATTTGGTGCAGATAAGAAACTTTTGCAGCTTAATTTAGAACTAGTTTTACTGCATAAAAAATGAATGTGATTCAAGATTTTTGTTCGATTTACAAAATATGTTATTGAAGTAAGCAAAGTTTGTAATGTCCATTGGCCAATATTACAGAGATATAAAAGACGGTGCCACATAATAAACTCAACCTTTATCTTTCCTGTACCTTTTTCCGTCTTTTACATTTTGACCATC